GCGCCTCACATCATGGCTCCACAAGTCAGGGCAGGAGGCCAAGAAACGCTCGCTCGTTATCGTCGGAACGGACAGCAACTGTGGCTTCGGACTCAGACGGAACAGACCATGCGATCGCCACACCCACCGTGGATCATCAGCACCTGGGGCCCTACGCGTGCGCCATCGAGAGTGCGGTCTCACTGGAGCTGTGGAAGCTCATGGAGATGGAGAACATGGCAGCGGTCGCCACATTCTTCCTTGTTGGGCCCACGTCCTTCGGAGTGGACACGCAGAGTTCGCCTGATCACATCTTCGTGCCGTCGGGGGCCATCGCCTCCACCGTGCGATGCAGGACCCTCCGCATTGTCATGAAGACCTACAGGCCATCCTATATTGCAGGCCGCGAGATCATGCCCCGCTCCTCTGGCAGGTCAGATGCGAGCTTCAGGCCCCGCCTGGGCCCAAGGCTGGCCCTGCCTGGGATAACTATCAAGTTCTCAGACTGCTCAAGTTCGACGGCGCGGGGGCACCGATCTTGGCCGTGTTGGGGAGGCTGTCGGAGGCCGCGCAGTCCGCCTGGGAGCGCGAGATCCGCGTGGACCCTAGCCTAACGTGGGGGCAGCTCGTCTGGGATATCAGAGAGGCTGCCCTACCAAAGCTGACAGCGCATGTGAGACGGGGGCCGCTGCCCCCCCCCCCCCCCCCCTACCTGGAAGCTAGAACTAAGGCGCCCCATCGAGCGCGAGATGGCATGCAGGGGCTGCTATGCGGACGGGCAGAGACTACGAGTGAGAGCCATGGAGAAGGACATCCAGAGGCTGAAGCAGCGCCTGGACATCGAGCGCGTGGAGGGCCTCCTGGAGGAGGCGCAGGGCCACAACGACGTGGCGGACCACCACAACGTCTGGCGAGTCATTTACGCCATTGGCGCCCTCTGCCGAGGACCCCGACAGCGAGCGTTCAACGTGCCAGCCTGCTGCCAGCCCGACATGTCAGAGTGGGCGGAGCCCATGTGTGCGTCGGCGCGCGACGGCGGCGTCAGCGCCGAAGTCTTGGCCGACCAGGGCAACCCGCCAGGGAGGCGCTGGGCGTGATCGAAGAAGAGGGCACGGGCTACTTCGATGGATCACCAGGGACTGTCGCCTACGGCGAGTGGATCCGCGCACTGAGGCAGCTGAACCGCGCTGCCGCTCGCAGATTCGCCCCCGAACACTCGGTGCCCGCTGAGCTCTGGCGGTGGCTGATGCACCATGCGACGAAGGAGCTGCTGGGCGTGTGGCCTGGAGCGGAGCGTGTCAGCGAGCGCCAGCTGCAGCGACTTGGCAGTCGCCAACAGCTGGCGTGGGGCCATCCAGCTCTCCAGAGGGAATTCCAAGGAGGGCGCCAAGGCCATGGGGCCCATCCATTGCTACTGTCCGTTTGGGAAGGCGTGGTACAGGGGGCTCTATCTTAACTCGTGGCGTTTACCTGTGTCTTCGCGCGCGTGCGGATGCGCTGCGCGTGGATGTCGTCAAAACGTTCAACTTGCTGCTGCAGTTCATACTTGGCGCCTCAGACCGCTCGGGGTCCCCCGCCT